TGCAGTGTGGCTCTGATACGGTCACTGAAGCTGATTGCGGCCACTCAATGCTTGTGTTTATGTTTTTATACAGGCTATGGTTTATTCCAGCCGTGCCACGCACGTTTCTGAAGCGGCTCTTTGCTGCTTCTGTAAAGATACACGCATATGTCTCCTTTGAATAAATATAGCCAAAATCCCACCAAAATCCGTTGCCATGACTTATCGCGAGAGGCAAAAGGTTATGTTTAAGTCTCATAACATTGGTTAATGGAAACGCCGTCATTTCGCAATACTTTTGTATCGACATTTATAAAATATCGCCAAAGTTTTGCGCAAATCTGTAATGGAAACGCGCCTACTGACTCCCAGACAAAAATGAACCCCCATAATATCCGCTTACTATGCAACAGTTCTCTTCTTCACAGAAAGACGGTTGAAAGGACTTGTTTTGTCTTTTTTTTTGGTGCTACAAAATGAAATCAATACGTGCATTTTACAATAAATGGCCTCTGACTGGTTGGAAATGTGTAGCAGTGATCTTTCTAAATTTTAGCAGCTAGGGACTCTCTGTACAGTGCTCACTTAAAGGCCGCGTGGGCTATTGTTTCTACTGCTGTTAGGTAATGCAGACTTTCTAAAATACTCCAAAATACGGCTGATGTAAAATTGGTTGTGAATACCATTTCATTAAAAAAATATATATATATTAGAAGGAATAGACAATGAATGACATAAGAGACAACAAAGGATACAAACATTTATCTCTGAATAAGGATTTATTTAAATATTTTCTAATCCCAGTTGTCAAATTTTAAGACTAAATTGCAATTTTGAATTGAACTGATTATCACGTAATGTTATCCTTAACTTTTTTTGTTTAATCTGATATGGATAAGTAGGAAGGTTTTGCATATCAGCTGTTCATAGCACATTCAACATATTTGTTAATAAAACAGATTTCTGCGTAAAACCATTCTCATGTAAAGTCTCGCATTACACAGCACCGACAAATATCTTTATAGAACAAACTTCTGTGTAAACTTTTCGTACTGACACATTTGTTTAAAGAACAAATTACAATGTAAAACTTGTATTTCTATGCGAACAATTTACACGTGTCAGCATCAATTTACGCTTTTTTTGTAAATTTCTATGTAAAAATACCATCAATTGATGCTGAAGCATTCATGCGCATTCAACGAATTCCTGTGTAAATTGTTGCAACATGCAACACGAACACATTCGTTCAAGAAATTAATTTTTCATAAAACCACTCTTGCTTAAATTGACGGATCGTGCAGTGCCAACAAATTCTTCTACAGAACAAATGTCTATGCAAAGTGTTCGCAAACCCTTTCTAATGTAAATTGGTGGGTCATGCAGCACAAGCACACTTGTTTACAAAAGTAATTTCTGTGCATATTTTTCGTAAAACCATTGTTGCGTAAATTGTCACATCATGTAGCACCAATACTTTTGTGAAATATTCACAGAACTTGTAATTTATTTAGTAATTTTTTTACCCATTCATTATTTGAGGATAAATTTAAGAGCAAAGTTTCTGTAAAATGACTCTTGTGTAAATTTACGCATCATGCAGTGCCAACAAATTAGTCCAGAGAACAAATTGGTTTGCAAAATCTTTCTAGAATAAATTGCGGATCGTGCAACACAAACACGATGGTACGACACATTTGTTTATAGAACACATTTCTGTGAAAATCATTCATTAAATCACTTTGTCATCATGGAGTGCCAAGGAATTCGTTTACAGAACGAATTCCTGTGTAAATTTTTCGTAAAAACCATATAGTACATAAATTGTTACATCATGCAGCACAAACACATTCATTTAAGAAATTAATTTATGTACAAAATTTCTGTAAAACTACTCTTGTGTAAATTTTTCGTAAAAACCATATAGTACATAAATTGTTACATCATGCAGCTGTACATACATCATGCAGCTGTTACATCATGCTGTAAAACTACTCTTGTGTAAATTTACGCAACATGCAGTGACAACAAAATCTTAAGAACAAATTTCGGAGCAAATTTTTCACAAAACCTTTCTTGTGTAAATTGCTGCATCATGCAGCACAAACACATTTGTTTACAAAACACATTTCTGTGCACATTTTTCGCAAAATCATTATTGTGTAAAAATTGTCACAATATGCAGCACTGACACATGAAACATTCACAGTACACACAGTTACTTTTTTTTTTACTTTATTTGACATAATTTTGAGAAATAATTTTGCCTGTAGACGTAAATCTTATTCATTCCGTGAATAAGAAAGTTTTACAGCAGAATCATATTCATTCAGTGTGTTTTTGACTCCATTGTGCTGATTGTAGTGTTATCTGAGGACATGATTTGAAATACACTTCGACACTTAATGACATCTATTTGAAAGTGGCAGCGAGTAGCTAATATCCACTTCATAGACAAGGTTGTGCTTGTTATTCTGCTTTTCCTGACCTCACAAGCCAGGTTGAGACAAGGACAGGGCGTACCACAAATATTCCTCCCAAAAGACAGATTTTCTCAGGATGAGAGGAGGAGGATGGAGCTTTAAAGCGACTTAGATCTTGTCTGCCGCAGCTGTTCTTCAGGGACACAAATGCAGAGGCAGGTATTACTGCGGGCGCCATGTTAAGCTTATTTGTTGCTGAAAATGGTCTATACTGCGGCAGAGTTTCTTACACCTTGCTAGAATGTATTGGGAATCACCACATAAGACATCAGAACCATATTAAGTAGAGCTTTAGTTGTTGTAATGCATTTCTTACAGTATAAAGTGAGTATCAGTCTCAAGCCTTATTATTGGATCGCGCTATTCAAATATTTGTCACATTCTGCCATATGTTGACAGATCCATATCCAGTAGCTGACATTTCCCAACAATTTCCTTTTATGTGAGTAAAGTTCACCTTACAAAGGACAGATTAAAAGTTTTATGTATACGGTGACCTTTAAAGAACTATGGCTAAACTACCAAGAAGCCCTCATCCAAACCTTCACAGATAAAGAGCTTCGGGCAAAATGTTCTGGAAATCACATGTGTGAATGAACAGGAGCATTGTTTTGATGTGAATGCCGTGAGTACATGAGTTTTCAATATAACAGTCACCTGGCAGATACTGCGAGTTTAGTTTTGTAAGATAATTTAAAAACAAAACATGATATTTGTGACCCGTGTTGGCAAAATGAGTCGGAATGCGCACAGGCAAATTTTGAGCTACAGTCAAAAAAAGTCGATTTTGAGGTTTTCACAAAAATGAGTTCATTAAGCCCTCGTCTAGCGATCCCAATGCTCCAAATAATCATTTCAGATGTTTAATTACCTTCATTTGTAGGTTTTCTGAGAGGAGTAGGCTACCTTTTCTCCGCTCGCTTTTCACGC